TTTAGCAAAGATTCATACATGGTTCAAGCACTAAGTTAACAGCGCCTCTTGCATCAAAAGAGCGTCTAAAGAAAAAAAAAACCCAGCCCTTTAGACATCTAATTCGATTCTCAGTTTTCATTTAACATCCCCCTGGATCCTACAAAGGGGAATATTATTTGTTTTCCTGAGCAATATAAATTCTACTGTTTCTCAACTTGTGACCATACTGAGTGCATATTTTCCACATTCCAGGTAGCGGTTTGAAATTTTAATATTTCCATATTCGCTGATCTTTCACCCTTTTGGCTTTGTATAAAGAACAGGAACTTTGTGCTGGTAGTGGCTCTTAAGGACCTCATGTAAAGAGAGATCACCAAGCTCTCTAAATACATGAGCGTGTTTCTTCTAATCACTAGCATCACAGATACACTAGGGTACCAATCTCTAGATCTGTACACACCTTTTGAACATGTGTACAGGAGTGGCACACCAGTATGCAATGAACACAACCTATGATAAGGTTCTTACTATCAACCACGGTCACTTGACAAAGCACTGTTACATCTACACTGCTTTAAGATAGACTTTTGCCCCCAATTGCTAAGGGGCAAATGCAATGCTACACCTAGCCAAAGAACACTAGCAAAAAAAAAAAAGGGCTTAAAGCCTTTTTGACCATAATCTCTTATGAAGGCACAAAATACCTCTAGCGGTTAAGGGCTGAACATGATTGAAAGGGGTATGAATAGAGATGACTCTACAGCCTTGTAGCTTTTTTTGTTTTTTTAACAGGTATGTCAGGACAGCTTTCGTGGGTGGCTTATACCAGAGGTGGGCAAACTTTGGTCATCCAGCTGTGGTGAATCTACAAATCCCATGAGGCATTTGCAAGACAGAGCCACAGGCCTGATTCCCAATTGTAGATGAATAATTGTATTTGATGTTTCACCACAGCTGGAGGGCCATTTGCCTCTCCCTGGTTTAGCATATGGGCAACCAATATAGTCTAAGCTTAAGGCAGGGGAGGGCAACTCTGGTCCTCCAGCTGTGTTTCAACTGCAAATCCCATCATGCCTGTAACTCAGTCTTGCACTGCCTCATGGACTTTTAGTTTCACAAGATGTTGGAGGCCTGGAGCTGCCCATCCCTGACTTATGGGATACGTTTACTGATGATGTATGGAAGTTGCAATTGCTGTTTTCACCTTATGAAAATATAAGCCTGGTTGTCATGTTGATCCATTGGCTTTAGCAGTTTGAGTCAGTGACCCAGAACAGGTATGCAGCTAAGGCATTTGGTGACTTTGCTATTGTCCATGCCCGTTATAGGACTAATGTCTCAAAGTACTGAAGTCACAATAATAACATGTGATATATAATAATAATAAAACACATTAAATGCTGGGAGCAGCTGTATGTGCTTAGATCCTGACAGAAGCTCTATGTCATTTCATTGTCACCACAATGTGCTAGCTCTGAAGGGGATGGTAGGTCAACACAGACCTGAGCTCTGCTCATTGTGGAACAAGATAAATTGGATGAACCAAGGGGTAGCTGCAGGCAAACATCCTCGAGTATAAAAAGAGCAACAGAGATGGGCACCATGATTTCCTAAAATAGAAGCTGCAATGTGCTTTCCCCACCCTGACACATTTGCAGTTTGTGTCTTTACACTTCTTTAATACCATTATACACATATTCAGTAAATAATCTAGTACTGAAAATGTGGCATATAGAGTATTCTCATCAGCCACAAACTGACAAGGAGATCCTGTCTGGGACCTGCAACGTGTTCAACATACCCAGCCCTGTCAGCCTAAGGCCCGGTTCACACCTGGGCGTTTTGTAGCGCGTTCCTACGCTCTGCAAAACGCTCAAACACCAAAATCCCATTATTTCCTTTGGGTATGGTTCACACCTGGGCGTATTACAGGCCGTATGAACGCGCTACAAAACGTCCTACACCCAAAGAAGTACATGAGCTTCTTTGGGGTGTTTGTCGCGCGTTTCCATTGGGATACAGCGAATCGGTAAAAAGGTGTGAACCCAGCCTAAACAAGCCTCTCTTCCGCCAAAGGTTTCTAAGGGCTCCTTGAGCACTGATACATTTCTGCCTCTCAGGTAAGTAATCTTTCACATCAAATGATCTTTTTAGTCGTTTGTGTGACACCAAATGTAAGGAGCCTTCCTTCCCACTGACCACCATGCTAATGTACCATAAGCTGTAGTTAAAAAGATTTCGCTGGTGTTTCCGGAGGCCAATGTTATGAAGGTTGAAAAAGGATGAGCTAAACAATCATCTGAGCAACACCAAACATAAGAATATGTAATGGATGCCAAACATGCACATTTTGATCAGGTGTTTGGTAGCTTTCTTTTAAAAGTTATTATGGTATACATGTCTGTCTAAAAAGGGAACCTGTACTAAAGGAATATGGCCCTACCACTGCTGACCCTTTTCTACACATACTAATTACTGGGCAGGTCCTGATGTCCATAGCTGTCCAAAGATGATGTCATCAGGTAACACTTCAGGCTGTTCATATAAATTAAATATTTGATGTTCAAATACATGCAAATAAAGCTGGATAGCCTTGGATGGCTCCTGCCAGCCTGTCATTGCTTTGTGCAGGCTGAACAGCCACAGCTGTCCAGAACAACCTAGCCCATGTGAATGGGGAAAGGTGCATCTTCTTTCTGTTGTAGGCCCTGTACTGGCTCAAGGTGTCTGGCTGTTGCCTGCAAACCTTCAAACACCTGAAGCTGTGTCTGAGAGAGGGTTTGAAATCCAGTGTACTCATTGCACTCTGACTGAATAATACCCTTAGAGTCAAGTGGGTGCCAAAGTGACTGCAGATGCCTCTGCAATCCAAGATAAGTATATGTATATGTATAAAGTCACTCTCACTCCAATAGAATTTCAAGTCAAAAACGGTTTATTGACTTGATTGCTATCACATCATACAGCGACGTTTTGGAACAACAGCGGTTCTTTCTTCAGACAAACAGAATGGCATTCTGTTTGCCTGAAGAAGGAACCGCTGTTCCAAAACGTCGCTATATGATGTGATAGCAATCGAGTCAATAAATCGTTTTTGACTTGAAATTCTATTGGAGTGCGAGTGACTTTATACATATACTTATCTGGGAGAGGGTTTGCACATAAAACATTTACCAATGATGTCTGAAGCTTGCCAAATGCTTTGTAAATGTTTTCAAAGACTCATTAAGCTCCCGTTTGGGAAGGTTAAATACAGATCTTACTGGGAGCATTGACTGTAAAGCTGCTAGCAGGCTTCAGTACTACTTGAAACATATTGAAAGAATGCTAGCAGCTGGTTTGAAGTGGCAGTCAGCACTTAGAGTAAGATCTGTGTTTACCTTCCCGAACTGAAGGTGAATGGAGCTCCTATACAAGCTAAAGTCTTATGCTGGCCATACACTGTTAGAATTTTGCCTGATAGGCTGCAGTTACTGTTTAGATATTGTGACGGCCAGGGGAGCCAGCTGTCAGAATACAATAGTCAGCAGGGAAGAGTCCTACTTCTTTTCTGTTTAGCGCAGATGAGGGAATCTATAGATTCCCATACATGACATCTAGCAGTGTATGGCCAGCATTAGGATCACTGGGCATTTGACAGCGAGAGGGGCTTAGTACGAGTAGGGGTCCAGGCTTAATGATTACTTGGTCAAAAGCCAAGGTCCCATGTACAGCCTAGAACTAGTATCACACACAGACAAAGTGATCTATCCAAAGACTAGCACAGGTACTGGAAGACACCATAAGGCCCCATTCACAACTGTGTTGAGGGCAACCTCACCAATTCCTGTGTGAGACTCAGCAGTGTTTATACAATCATCTGTGGACAGGAAGCACTATACAAAGCAATGTTGGCTGACAGCACTGACAACTTTTCACATGTAACCTGACATGCAGCAATTACCTGCACTTCCCGCCTGCAGCTGTTTGCATAAAACACAGCTGAGTCTTGCAGAAGAATTTGTGAGACTGCCCAAACACAGTGGAGTGGATGGGGGCTAAACGGTTCCTCCACTTTAGCACCTTAAAAACATTTGAGGCCAGGCCAACATTATGTAGAGGATGATCTTCATGCAGCTGTGACTGACATTTACAGTTTGTCTTGTACCAGGTATGAGGGGCAGTCTCGGAGCACATTCAACTGCAAGTACACTGTAGTAGAGTAAGCATTATAACATTGTGTGAATGGACCCTAATACACACACACACACACACACACACACACACACACACACAAACTGCCATGTGTACAGATATAAAAATCACATATACTCACATTGCACCTGTTCAATTATGACCAGGATCAAAGAACGTTAATATAATCATCTGCAGTAATGCCAGTAAAGGTCCTTTTGATTTGGTTTGGTTTGCTTAGATACATTTAAAAGAAAAACAGTAACTGTCCAGCATCAAACCATACAAACAAAAGCTAAATAAATGTAAAAACCTGAAAAATTTAACGGGAAACCACTTCTACATACACAGCATGTATTTACCAAAATCATTGAGCCCATCCTGATGAAAATTGCCTTCCCAATGTCAACATAACAGTGCAAAGCAGAAGAACTGGTGATCTGGGTGAGGAGCTTCACAGTTGTGCGGCACTATTAAGGCTTCTGTGTTTGCCGTTAACGGCTATCTATGACTATGACATATATCACTTCAAAAGAATGCACACGGGAACTGTGCACCTAGTAGAATGTATATTGAAAAGAACCAAACAAGATCTAGAGCTGATTATTTTGTGGTAGCAAGACTGCTTGACTTTACCCAATTGTATCGCTTCTTGTTCATCTTATTGAGATTTTTTTTTTCAAATTCACAGACTCGGAATGTGCTTAGTTTTTGGCTATGATAAGAAGTGAACATTCCAACCAAATTTTGTAAGAAAAGTGAACACATCACTCTGATGAGTGGGTGTCAGCCACCTCAACATTTCTGCTGAGTGGGTGATATCCATTTCTCAACATTTCATCGGCCAGCACCCACGCCACCTGTTCAAACCACATGCAGTGAGATGCAGGAACGTCAACTGGAGAACATATATTACACTAATAATAAACATAGAAAAGTGCAACTAAAAGCTGGCCATTTATGGGAGATGAAACTGTACCATATTTAAATGGCTAAAGTTTCCTCCACGGTATAGAATATGTCAATAATCCAGGGCAAAATATAAATGAACTTTATAAGCCAGTATGGCCTATTAGGTATGTAACAGGGGCTGAACAGTATAAGGCCAGCAAATAAACCAGCCCTTTTTTCACAAACCATAGCGGTTCAAAGTTCCTAAAAAAAGCATGATTGCCAAGTTATCCGTAGGTTAAAAAAAATCTCCTTCGTACTCGGTAGCAGGATCTGTGGCGATAGAGACATTCTGAGAACATCAGACCTGGCTTGGAGTGTCTGAGCTCAAGACCTGCTCTTCTGAAGACGTGAGAGCCAATGACGAGGCTCTGAACTTGCAGTGGATAACAGCATCGTGAATACTGTGAAAAATTATGTCTCTTCTTATATTCTTATCAAAGAAATTCAAGCTGGTCAGATCTTGTACAACCAACCCTGTGAGAAAAGAATAAAACCAATACAGATACATTTAAGGATCATTTCAATTCATATACCTAGCAAATGATGCAATACAGATATAATTAACTATCGCCACAATAAACTAAGAGGGATCGAGGTTTAAAAATAACTATGCCAAAGAAAAAATAAATAATATAGAGATCAATAAAAGTGAGATTCAGCATGACCTTAAAAGTTAGGATGAGGTATATAAATTGGAGGTATGTGGTGATAGTAAATAAAACACAACTGGATTTGATGATCAAATAAACTTCTTTAGCCTCAAAATTATAAATCGTTGCTATGGGCAGTTCCACTTTTCTTCAAATGGGTTTCATGGTTTGCTTAAATTGCATGTTTTGCAAACTGCCTACCAAATTAAAAGGTTTGTTTTGGAAACAAGTACATGTTCCACACCCAGTCACTGTACAACCTAGACCAGTGGTTCTCAACCTGTGTAACCTCAGGACACACATTTGTCCTTGGTCATTAAGTCGTGACCAGAGTTACACAAAGCACTGGAACACATGACATTGCGGTACCGTGCCTTCCGGTGCGGGTGATTCAAATTAATGGCAATGCAACACACCTCCCACACCAGAATGCGTAGTAGGTGCGATTGCATGGCAAGATGCGTTAATCACACGGGACTCTGCGATTAATGCACTGTACTAGTGTGAACGGGCCCTAAAAAACACTAAACAGACACACATAACCACAAAACACATCACACACACTGCGTACTCCACAAAAAAATTAATTTTGTTTTTTTTTAAGATCCACCCAGTCTCCCTATCTTATGAGAACTGGAGTGGATCCTCAGCCCAGAGTGAGCTGCTGTGCTGTGACGGAGCTCCATCCATACGTGCATTTCTTGTACAGCTTCCTTGTGTGCCCTGTAGAGGTGCCAGGAGCCAGAATGTGACGCCACTCCGGTCCAGGCACATCTACAGGGCTCATGAGGGAGCTGTAAGCAATGCAGGTATAGATCAGTGCTCCCCAACCTTTTTATCGCCGCGTACCGGTCAACGTAGTAAATAAAATGGAAATAATGTAATGTTCCTTGGGCGGCCCGGTACCATTTGATCCACGGACCGGTACCGGTCCGCGGGCCCGGGGACCACTGGTATAGATGGAGCTCCCTCACTGCCATAGCCCCATCTCGCCCCACCACAAGCTGACAATCTACACCGGGCAGCATATTTTGAATTGCTGGTTGGAGTGAGAACTGACAGTGATGCGCTAGAGGGAGGCTGAGGAGCCTCTCACCTAGAAAAGTGGAAGGCATATGTGACCCACTGAACACTGGGTCACGACCCACCAGTTGAAAAACAAGGACCTAGACGATTCTCCAACACGTGTACAGATGCAGAACTTACCATTACAGCCAGACAGAAGGATATCAACACCAATTTCTTTGTATTCCTTAATAATCTGTCATAAACAGAAAAAGAAAAAAAAAAAAAGTCAGCTTTAGGGCCTGTGCGACTGTGTCAATGGGCTTTGACTTTGTGTTGATGTGCAAATCCAGCTTGCTTTCAGGTGCATTAGAGATCAGTTTAAGACTTTGTTCAAAGTTCATTGACGGGAAATTTGACCTGCAGTTGACTTCCTACATTTTACCTTCTAGGCTACACCAACCTATTTCAGTCTGCTTTTGCATTCCCACTGACTTGTGTGTGTGTGTGTGTGTGTGGGGGGTGAAGAAGTTCAGAACTTCTGAAGAGTAAAACATCCATCAACACAGGTCCTTGCAAACACAGAGCATTGTGAGCAGCATATTGATGAGGCATAATGACGTGCCTTAGATTTGTAGGAGTGCAGAAAAACCTCATCAAGGTTTAGAGGAACCTTGGCAGAAAAGTAAATTGACTTGTATGTTGTCTCTCTGTTAGAATATAGTGCAGTGTAAATGAAGTGATCACATACACTTTTGCAGACAGTGTGCCTGATCTCATCACAGCTCAAACAAAGTAGGTAGTTGACTTAGTTAAGAACTTCTCTCCATGTATAGCAATGTCTTTCTTTTTCTTACTGCTCCTCTTAGCTATGATTGTGCTATACTGTTTCATTGCCTTAGGCAGCATTTGAAGCACTCTACTTCCCTTATCAGCCTTCTCTGTAAGTAAGGTGCCATGTGCCCTTTCCCTAAGTATTGAGAATCTAACCATCTCTCAATACCACCATGGCTGCTGCTGTAAACTGTATGTATACAATTTCTCCTCTTCTTTTATTCCAAGTTAACCATCTCAATGATTAAGTATGACTTGCCATCTGCAGGAGTCCCTTAGATGAATGATCCTGTGACCCGCGTCCCCAGGACCTAGCCTGATGGCCATGAGATTACAACCCTTTCCAAAGGCTGATTACCCATTGTCCTCAAATGGCCTGGAATGATACATAACAACTAGAGCCAAAACCAATACCGTCCTTAAACTGTGAAGGTTTTCATATCCCTCACAATCGCTATAAAAAGAAATTTTGCATATTATCTCATTCAGTTATAGGAATACAGGCATAAACATTATTTACATATAGTATTATTATTATTCAGGATTTATATAGCACCAACAGTTTGGGCAGCGTCACAAAATGTGTATGAATTATTTCCATAGTAAAGATATCCTTTAATATGTACTGTATCTATGATTTAATAAAAAAAAAAAAAGGTAAATTACAGGTATAATTAACAACAGATCTAAACATGTAAAGTCCTCTCTTAAATCCAATCTCATTAATTAACGTAACTGGATTTAATTAAATCTGTTATTCTGTTACAAAACATCTGATGCATGAAATAATAATTGTAATAGGATATAATGAGAAGTGAATTATCTTCTCCCCTCCTAACTACGGGCCTAAACAAAAAACTGTAGTTGCTACTAACTGGAATGAAGAGGACTACCCCCAACATACAAATAACTTTAAAACATGATTAAGCTGAGAAATGACTAAGGCTATACTAAAAGGTAAGTAGTAATGCCATCAATGAGATTTGGAGAGAGACCCAGTTCAAGATGCTACATAGAGCATATGTACCCTATTTGTTTTTTTACCCCCTGGGGTCTTACCCCTACAGCCAAGAGTATCTTGCTGTCCAAAATTTACACAATCTCACCTTATGTTGCAGTATTGTCAGTGGTCATGCTCACTTACATCACGCTTTTGGCAACAAGTCACTACCTATATTGAATCTGTTCTTTCCTGGACACCCCCCACCTGGAACCAGCTCTTTATCTCTTTAGCTACTTGTTGCACGGAGGTGCATTATGTGGGTATGGAATGTTCCTATGCTTCAGGATGTGATCAAAGACCTAACATTGTTGCTGCACAAGGAGACTGGATGCAGAAATCCAAAAAGGATGTCCGTACCAAAACATTTTTCCGCAGATGGCGATATTTTATAACCAAGTCTTTTACTGATAAAGAAATTCTACATCTAGTTAGGCACTTTCAATTTACAACATGGTACTTAAAAGCAAAATTGTTGAATACCCTGGGGGCATTGGAAATGGACACATACTCTGTAGCTTCTCATTGAATACATAACGTTCGCAACCTATTACTGTTTATGTTTAAATGTTTTGTTTTCTCGGTTTTTATGACATTAATCTTTCTATGCCGTTTAAGCGGCTGTGACACTTTTTGTCTGTATTGGCGAGAAAAATAAATAAAACTATGTTTAAAAAACAAAACAAAACAGTTTACTTTAAAGCCAGCCCCTACACCAGTTTATAGATACCATCTATCTGCTTATGTTTTGCCACCATGAATGAGAAGAAGCCCTGTGTAACTCAGAAGTCAATCCAAGCTGAAGCCAACACAGTGCAGAGGATTCTCCTCTTTGCCTTCTGAAGCTGCTGCCCGAGTAACTAATTGGCAAGCACCACCCCTGCCACATGGGAAGAAAGGGGGTGATTCATATTCCCCCATAGACAGAAGTACCAGGTATATCACTTAACTCCTGGAGGTGATTGGAGCAGTAGGGGTTGAAGGGAAGGAGAGTATAAGCTACTTTAGGAGTTGGCATTAAAGTGACCCCGCACGAGCAAAGCACAGGTTCACATCAAGCCCTTATGGTGTAATACAACAAATGCTTATGAACTTCAATCAGTATAAGATCAAATCTGTTTGGCTGCTATGAGTTACTGCGGTTTTCAACAAAATAAAAAAAAGCCCTCCCCCAAAAAAAAAACAAAAAAAAAAACACACCATAGTATAGACGAGTTGCATTACTTACAGTTTTGAGCATTTTAACTCCAACAGAATCAACAAAGTTTACAGGTGTGAAGTCCAGCACGATTGTGTTAACACTGATGACTGGAGTCATAAAATAGTGTAACTCTTCAGAAGGTGAATTGTGCAGATTGCCATCAGCAGATCCATTTGTCACATTTCCTGAATAGTCTGTGATTGGATCGTCGTTCATTAGTTCATGTTTCACTGCCATTTCCACATCATTTGTCTGAAGAAAAAAAATAAAATAAAGAAGATATGACAGTTATCTGGGTATTTGTGATGGAAACACTAACAGAAGCCTTCTGTCAGTAGCAATAAACGTGTGTAATTCAGAGAAAGACGCCTAAACTGTTTATACCATGGAAAAGCTCACTGCATTTGTACGTATCATTAGCTTTGTTTGGACATAATTAGTTGCGTGCAATGTGAACAGCTTAATCTCTTTGTTATTTGTTTAAGTCCATGTGAAGCACTAACCTATTATGACATGTGTTTACCTGTCCATACTAGTTCTGTGTTGTCTCTCAGGAACAAGCGGCAGAAAATGATCTGCTCCAGTACTGTCTAATGCAATATTTGTTTGCGATCGCACCACGGGCATTGCTGTGCTACACCTTTTGGTGTGGGCGATCAAACAACGTGTGGGAGGCATGTGCCCCCTCCTGCCCCAGAACACAGGGAACCTTGCTCCATGCAATCCAGTGCATTCTGGCCACTAACTGGAACGCACTGGATAGTGTGTGAACAAGCCCTAAAGTGACCCTGTTATCAGATAAATATAAAAGCTGCCATTGTTGACTTGTTTGTAAAGGTGCAGGCTCCAGGGCTCTCGAGCTGAGCCTGTAAAGTCAACCTGCCATCACTGGCTGCATGTCTTTTAAGGTTAGAAGGATCATGATGACAGTCTTGGACCTGAAAACTTTAAAATACAAGTCAGCTGTGGATAGCTGCCCTCATATTTCTATCCAAACAGGTTTACTTTATGTCCGTAAGGAAAGTGCAGGAGGGGTGTCTCTGTCCACTAGGAGTCATTCTACAATTTGTGTGCAATGTCATTTGGCTGCTCTTCAGTCTCACAGAAGCTGTCATTTAAACTTTCTGAAAACTGATGCTCTTGCTTAGTTTGCTACAAGTGATTTTATTTTTATCCAAATCAAAGAAATAAAAAAATGTAAAACACACACACAATATGTACATATTGAATATGTAATTTTCATTACTGGAGGCACAAAGTTCCAGCAGATTTTTTAATGTATAACATTCATTATAGGGGTTGTGGAAGTTCTAATGGAAAATGCATTCAATCATAACACGAGTGTTGTATGCATAATGAGCAAACACTTACAAGCTTCAAAACTGCTCTCCTTTCACTTTTATTTGATTTCTTCAGTTCCTTGGCATGTCTCTTCTGGGCCTTTTTCTTGGCAATTAATATAGCATTTGGATCTATTCCAGTCTTTTATGTAACACAAAATTGACATTAGTAAAGACAAAATCAGTAATCTCCTTGGGTGTAGAGTCTAGTGCATGGCTTCTTTTTTCTTTTATCTAAATCCATACTCATTTAAATAAAAGTTATGCTACTATACAAATAGTGGCCCATTTATATACAGAAACTTCAAGGGTGAATACATTGGTTCCATTTATTGTGAGCTGTGAATACATGGGGATAAAGGGTCAGTGGAACAAGTTACTGTGTCCTCTGTGTCCTATACCATCTCTCACTCATGCATTTAATCTTTAAATACTGGGGGTACCATTGGAGCAGGTAACTTTGTCCCTTGCTGCCTCTCACTCCTGCATTTCATATTTAAATGCTGGTGGTAAAGTGTCATCGGAGCGGGTTACTTGGACCTCAGTATTTAAAGATAAAATGCAGGACTGCATAGGACAAAGTGTCAGAGGAGCAGGCTACTTTGTCTTATGCAATCTCTTACTCATGTCTTTCATCTTTAAAAACATTAGGGGTAAAATGTCAGTGAAGTTGGTTACTACAGTGTGTCCTAGGCAATCTCTCACTCATGTCTTTCATCTGTAAACATTGGGGATGAAGTGTTGGAGGGGCAGGTTACTATGTCCTAGGCAATCTCTCACTCATGTCTTGCAGTGTAATTCGGGGAAATAGAAGATACTCTACCTTTTTTCTCAAAGCACAGACATAAAGATCACTGTTTGCAAAGTACAAGGAGGTGTTGGCCTGAAATATTTTTATACCAGGGATTTCTTTGGTCTAGAAAACAATATATTTATCAGAGATCAATAGTTGCAAACATACAGAAGACTAGACAAGATATGAGTGTACTTTTAAATCTCATTTGCTGCATGCAAGAATTTATGTACAATTTAAAATAAAAAGGAGAAAAAACTTTCATGCAAAAAGAACAGTAAATTTAAGTGTAAAAGCAATTTTTACCCAGAACTTAAAGTGTATGTCCAGTCATAACCTACATGTACCCCCAAACCTCTCTCTCCCACTCTAAAGCATGCCTGAGCATTAGATCTCTTTTTCTACCTTGTTCCTGTAGCAAGAAACTGTTTTTATTACTCTCTGGGACATCATCACCAGGGATAACCCTTAGGCCTGGTTCACACCTGTACGTTTTGTAGCGCGTTCAACGCTCTACGAACGCTCTACAAAACGCTCAAACATGAAAATCCCATTGTTTTCTATGGGTATGGTTCACACCTTGCCGTATTTCAGCCCGTCTGAACACGATACAAAACGGCCTACGCCTGAAATGGTACATGAGCTTCTTTGCGGCGTTTTTGTCCCGCGTTTCCATTGGGATACAGCCAAGTAGCCCTCCGAAACACGCGTTTGTCGCGTGTTTTTTTACCACGAATCGTTGTAAAACCGCGCGTCACGAAACGTGCAACAAACGTGCATATTCAATACGCCTAGGTGTGAACAGAGCCTTAGAGCGCAGTTCCTATTAATGTAGGTATGCTCACAGAACTACATCTCTTAGAGCCCTTTCCCCATGTACAGTGTGTGATTGCAGGGCAGGCAGTAGGTAGTCAAGGCAGCACCATTGTATTGCTTGGAAACCACTATCCAATTTAAAGTCATCAGCTTCCTGCAGCACCACTTCTCCAAGCTGTGAATGGTTTAGCTTCTTTAATTTACATCTGCCTGCAGTTCAGCTTAAAACATCTGCACATATTAAGTAAATTTGTCACTTGTACCTACTGTGTCTCTTTTGCTAAGCTTTAAATACAAACTCACAAACTTAGGATTCTGTTAGTAACTAGCAAACAGTTAAGGTTGCAAGATGATTTGGAAGCGGTCACAAAGAGCTGTGAATCTCATTGTAAACATATGTCAAGTTCATGCAAAAGTCCACAAATTAAGGATGAGTTTTAAAGATGACATATACCTCCTCATATTCCTCGACATCGCAGTATATGTCTGTAAGTGGAATCTGTCCTAGGATACTGTACTTTGAACTAAAATAAAATAAAATACCATTATCAATACATTACTTAGGTCTGTGAAAATGATCTCCAATCAAAGAAAATTTGTAAGCATACATAAGATCAAATTTTAAGAGATTAAGAAGCATTTAACATGACATTTATTTATGACTTCATATTGCTTATTTCTACAAAACTCTCCACATCTGCTAATTGTTGTACTCGCATCCTGTTATCCACACTGCAGGCAGCAACATAAAGTAAGTCACTGAGCAAGTAACTAGGATCAGATTACAACCATCTTGTTCATTCTGTATTTGCTTCCCTTAGCTTAGACCACACTTAAGATGGGTATACACACCTGCAGGCTGGACATAGAAAATATGGCAGATTCCTCTATCGGCGCTTATGAGCGTGTATGGAGGAATCCCTTGATATTTTGCACTGTATTCTGACAGTGGCTGCCAGCTCTGTTCAGCTGCATAATTGCTCCTGATCAGGGAATCAGAAAGTATTAAAGCCAGTTGGTGGCAGGAGATTACAATGAACTTGTGGCTTTGGCCTGCATGTAGACAGTTCTGCCAATGCCAATATATCTGCTGATGTCGATAGATAAGATTATCACCACATCTAGTAAAAACGGGCCAGTGATTATCGTTATCTCATGTTTAATGTTCATTAACAGAGTAGAGCGGGCCAAAAGGTGTGTGCAGATGCTTATTATGTGACGAGAAAGTCAGAAGCAAACAAAAAAAGAAAGATTAACGAAACATACAAACCTTTGTGTACGGTAGATTACTGTTATAATAGCATATGCCACTGCAACAATCAATCCATAGTCCAGGCCAAGGGAAACCGATGCCACAAAGGACACTACCCAGATACTCTAAAAAGTAAAGTGTAAAATCTATTTTGTTTCAATTATAATGCTGTCAGTTTTCTTCAGCACACAAGAGCTGTGAATAATCAGAAGCTCTTATATGAAGTAATGTATAGCATGCAAGGCAATGCAAATCATAGGGAGATTGCTGCAAGATTAATTTTTTACAGTGGATCATACAGGAGGAAGTGAATGCAGATTATAAAACGTCTAATAATCTCATAAGGGCCTGTGTCAATGGGCATTTTATTTTTGCTTCAAATGGGTTTTGTATTCTTATACAACTCAATGGGAATGCAAAACCTACCTGAAGCAGGTCAGGAGGTGTTCAATTGGAGGTTAGATGGAGGTCAACTACAGGTTAGAAGGAGGTTTGACAATGCATCAGTCATTGAATCCCATCAACACAAGCCAAAAGTCAGTTGACACAGGCCCTAAATCTGTTAATAATATCTTCATTCAGGCCTAAGGATGTGGCTAAGCACAGGACATCTCCATGATGCAAATAAAATGCACAATATAAATCATACAAGACTGATCAAAGGTCTTTCTGATTAAAAATATCTGGCGTGCCATTCTCAATCAACGGTCCACCATTTTTAAAACAAAACAACTAATCTTGCAGTAGAAAATCACCCATGTCAACTTGTACAACCAAGGCTTTCAGAAGCAAGGCCAGATATACTAGAACCTGTAACAGGCATGAAAAGTTACTGTTGCCAACAGTTCGAAGTACAGTGCCACAATAATAAATACAGCATGGCAAAACAACATCTGCAGAAAATATCACTACTGTGCTGGATACGTATCCTCTACAGTCTAGGCCACCTTACCCACCACCTTCAGCGTATCTGCATGCTCCTTTCTCTAGCCCTTACAACATCTCTTCGCTCTAATATCGAAGCCTGTTCTAATAAAGTCGTTTTGTTTTTGATTGTCTGTTGAAGCATGAAACAATGTCAATACTGTCTTTATAGGACAAGTTAGAAAAAACAGCAGTACCAATGAGCTTACAATCTAGGTAGGGTACCTGAGGCAAAGGGAGATAAAGTGACTTGCCCAAGGTCACATGGAGCCGGTTTTGAAACCAGGATGCCTGGTTCACAGTCCAGTGCTGTAGAGCCACTCCTCCACCCTATGACAATCTGCATAGATACATGTTAGTTTTTGTGAGGTCTCTATTGCCCAGCTAGAATACTCCAAGCTAATATATTAGGATGGTTAGGGTAAACCATTTAAGGTCATACAAATATTTAGCATTGCATTAACCACTAGTGAAACAAAACATAGCCTAGAAAATGCATAAGGGTTTTAAAGGAAAACTATGAATTGAAGTAAAAGATTGTCACCATGTTCTACTATTTTAACAATGTATTTTATTAACAAAAAAAGACAAAACAAATTGGA